TATGGCACTCAGACTAAACAATGTTTATTTAGAATTTGCTGGGGGCTTTCATGACCAAAAATACATTTTGTCGAATAATTATTTAACATGTTTATTCCATGACTCATATTCACAACTGTCCTTAATCAGAAAGCACATAAGTAATTAATTTAAAAGCCTCCTCATCACCTGTCAATCATAAACGTCCTTTGAACTCTGTACAAACAAAACAGAAAACAAAACCCTATGGGAGCTAATAAGTTTCACGACAGACTCCCCCAGTTTTGGTTACATTCGTAAACAAACATAGAAAAATTTGAATGCAATTTTGTATAAATAACGAAATCTTCGCATGAGTTCACCCCTCATCGCAGCATTGTGACATGGTGTAGTGTTCGCAGAAGTGTTCGGAGTATCACGAACAGGAGAACCGCTCATTGGTTCGGCTCTGTACTCTTCGATTTGATTAATGGCATCGTTGCTGTTGAGTTCAAGTGGAAACAAATGTTTGACACTTCGTTTTAACAGACAAGGAATATGATCTGCACTTGAGACATCGATAATAGCAGCTCGGATGTTACCATCCTTTCCCGGCAAAAGTTCGTCCACTTTAGCTAATTTCCAGAACATTCTGTTTGATGTATCGTTCTTGAGAATGACTACATCTCCAATGGCTATGTCAGCTCCCTTTCGATTCTTTGTGACTTGTGCGTGTCTCTCTCGAAGATTCAACAGATAGATTTTTCTCCATTGGTCAGTAAATTGGTGAAGAAGGTGGCCATGGTGTCTTGCTCTTAGTGTAAGCGATTCGTTGGTGCTGATGACCTCAAAATGTCTATCGTTCGCAGTATTGGTTACTCGTCGCCCATTGATTAGGTACGAAGGGGAAAGTGTGTAACTCACGCCATCTTGATCGTCCTCCACGTAGGTCAGAGGTCTTGAGTTAACGACCGATTGGATCTGCACAAGCAAGGTGTTTAACTCATTGTAGCTTAAGGTGGTTCTGCCAAGGGACTTTTTCATACAACACCTGATGCTCTGGATTAATCTCTACCAGAAGTCTCCCCACCAAGGGGCCTTCTTAATAATAAATCTCCAGCTGACACCACTGATGGCTAAGTAACGCAAGACTTCTTTCGACCGTGCAA